CTAACACCCCAGCCCAGGGCTCCCCATCTGCAGCATCTGCCTGCATTCCCCTCATATATGCTTGGTGAAGGGGGGCTTGGGGCATGGCCTGGAAGGCTAAGATGTTTTCAGCTAAAAAGTGCTGACCACACTGGTCCAAAGAGCACAGAACATCTCTTTCCTAGAACGCACTGAAGATGTGGCCTCTCAAAGGGAGAAAGAAGCGGCCTTTGCCGCCGCTGAGATTTGCCCTTTTCCGCTCAGGCCTCTGCGGTCAGCAGAGGGAAGTAGCTGCGAGCGGCCTCAGGCCAAGCTGTGGGCCGGAGTGTGGTCTCATTCCCCACCCCAGGCTGGGTCTTTGCTGAGCCAGGGAGCAGCTAGGAAGTTGGGCAACTCTAGGGTCTGGCAGTTGCTGGCTCAGGGCAAAGGCTCAGAAGGCAGCGGGCTTCCCGGAGGGCCACCTGGACGGCCCGCTGGGTGCTGCTGCCACGGTGCTCACCACGGACCAGACCGGAGAGGAACGGTGGCTGGCCCTGGCGGGGGGCTCCGGGCAATGAGAGCACGCTGCCCTCACTCTGCCCAAATGGCAGGTGGATGCGGGCACAGGAGGCGGCCAGAGCCCTGTGGGCTGGTGGATACTCATCACAGGACATCCACTGTAAATCTGTGAGAAATCACACTCCTTCTGGGACCCACAGGCAGGCACACGGGTCCCCCTGCGAGGGGGCCTGGAAGGAGCATCCGCAGCCCCCGCCCCAGTCTCACTGTCACTGCTGGTCCCGCTGGGCAGCGGGAGGCTGGACCACATCCGAATGCTGACTCAGATTCCCTTTTTCCCTTTTTCCTGGGGGCACCTCAGGATCTGTCAGAGCCAGGAGGGTGCTGCCCCCCTCCCTGCCCAAATCCAGAACTAATTTTGCAATGTCTGCTTCCCACAGCGGCGCTGCTGGGGAAGTTAAGGAGACACGAAGTGTTGAGTCTATTGGGGGAATTTGGAAGAAATTCCCCCAAAGTGGGGGTCCAGGGGTCAGAACTGAAGTCCCTCAGAGGAAGGGACCCCCAGCTTGCTTCCCCTGCCCTGGGTCAATGCCCCTCAAACTCCGCTGGGGACCACAGGCCCCATTAGCACCAGCACACGCCCAGCACGGAGGAGGGGGGGTGGTGGTCACAGACTGCGGAAGGGACAGGTGCAGACTCCCCTCCCCCAGGAAGCCTGCCTGCCACGCCTCTCCTGCCTGAACGGCCTGTTTGAGGCAGGTCTCGCCGCTCACTGGCTGTGTGACCCGGAGGTTATCCCTTGCCCTCAGAGCCTCAGTTTCCTAATATTTCCTAATAGCGGGTCTCACAGGACACGGGATGCTGAGGGCTGAGTGACTGACAGTGCGTGAGGAGACCAGCAATGCTGTGTCCCTCTTCCCTGGCCCAGCCTGGCCCAGCCCCAGCCCCAGCACGCAGGCTTAGAGGTGGTCAGAACCCTGGGTCTCCAACCAGGAAAAAGTCCCGTCTGAAGCCCCTTACTGACCCCTGATCCCAGAACGTGAGGAGGTAGCAAGGCTTTGAAATCCCCTTGCATTGTGCACATGGGGAAACTGAGGCAGGGAGGGAGCAGGACACCACCTGCAGGAACAGCTTGTAACCCTTGGCTCGTCCACCATCACCGTCACCTGTCCAGTCTCAGACCTGCCCGTCCCCATCCCTGACCTGGCCCTGAACCTGGCGATGTCCATTAGCTTGCCTCTTCCCGCAGGAACTACGAGGAGCACAAGAGAAAACGCCCAAAGGTGGCAGGGGCCTGGGTCACCATCCTGATGCTGCCTGGCACTGGGATCCTGGTAAATCCTTCCTCTCTCCTGACCTCAGGCTGCCTGTTAGTGACAGGGGGACAGAAGCAGCTGCCCCAGACCAGATGAACTTGGCCTTGCAGGGGAGGGTCCCTCACCTGGAGGCAGGCCCCAGCCAGGTGACTCTCTCCATACTTAGAGGCTCTCCCAGAAACTCCAGTTGGGGACAGTGTCCCTGTGATGGAGCCTGGGGGGCCCGCAGCAGGGCAACCTGGAGGGTGGGATCATGTGGGCCTGAGGGCCCCACAGCGGGACCCCCCTGCTGCTCCCACCCGGCAGGCGGGAGTTGCAGGTGGCGGCCTGGACCACAGCCGAGTTGGACTGACCTGAGCACCATCCTGGAGCTTCAGCTTCCTCGGGTGGAGAACAGGACCCCCTGCCCGGGGGCGGGGAGAGTTCGAGGGGATAGTACTGAGTGCGCCAGGGCTATGTGCTCAGAAAACGGCAGCTACTGGGCGTGAGGGTGTTATCGTTAGCGGCCATTTACCCAGATATAGACCTGCTCTGCCCCCGGGCACTCTGGGGGTTGGGACAGGCACACACACGCGCAACACATACCCAGCGCCCACACACAACTGTGCCACGCGGGCCCCTCGCCCGGCCAGCCCTGCGAGGGTTAGAAATCACAGCTCTAATCTCCAGGCCGGGGACATAGAAATCAGGCCTCAGTCCAGGCTGGTGGGCAGGAACACAGGCCTGGCTCTGTGCCTCTCACCCTCAGGCTTGGAAGACCTAGGGCGGCTGCCCACACCATACCATACCACACGGCACGGCAGGCTGGCTGGGCACCGTTAGGGCAGAGCAGGCGGCCACCCCAAGCAACCACACACAGAGCTCAGCCTAAGGAGAGGCTCGGGGAGGGTCAGGCATGTACCAGCTGCTCATGTGTCCCCAGACCTGTGCCCGACCTATGTCCACTCCCTCCCTGCTCCCGCCACTGGCCAGCCGGGCCTGAGCACCTGCATAAGCCCCTGCCGCTGGCTCACACTCACCTTCTGCCCCCCGACGATGTGGGAGCCTGCTAGGCGGACGGCCAGGAGGCAGAGCAGGAGGAGGCCCCGGGCCCCTGCCATGGACAGCGGTGGCTGGCAGGCACACTGTCCGGGACAGAGCTGGGGCAGTCTGGGAGGGGAATGAGCTCGGGGAGGCAGGCACAGGGCGGGCAAGTGGGATGGGGGCGGGCACTCGCTTTAAAAGCAGCCTCGAGGCCCCGCCAGCTCACCCCCACAGGAACCCGCCAGGATTTCCTCCTGCCTATCAGCAGCCTGCAGGCGGAAGGGAAGGTGCTGGCTACTGACCCCTGCATGGTTGGCCTAGGCCTTGCTGGGGCTTCCTGGCCCCAGGACCTTCTCCTGGCACCACAGTCTCCAAGTCCACCATTAGCCACGAACCTGGGGTCTATCAGAGGCTGCAAAACAAATCCAAATGCAAATGCCCACCGCTCTCCACCCCAAGCGTCTGCAGAGGGCCTGGGGGATTCAGTCCCTGAATCAGGTTTATGTGTATCAACCTTTCTAACTGCTGAGGGCAAGAGCAGGCACCCTGCCAGGCTCTATGCCAAGGGGACAGTGGACCACTCCTCCTCTCACCCACCCCAGCTACCCCTCCAACTAGTCCAGCCCAACCTTATACCTACACCTCCTGGAGCTGCTGCATTGCTCTGCCTCCCGATCCCTCTGTTCTCCGCTCAGGAGCCCTGCTCTGCAGACCTGTCCACACCAAGCTGGCCTCCTGACCTCTGCAGCTCTCCCTCACCCTGTCCCAGCCATGTCAAGCAGCTGCCTTGCTCCTATCACTCCAGATCTTCCCTCAGGGAATGACCTCAAAGTCCAGTCTTAGGTAAAAGGTCACCAGCCTTCATCTCCTGTAGCACTGGCCACAAGCTGACCCTGGTTTATTTTGGTTTTTTTTTGTCCCCTGCTGGAATGTTATAGAACAGAGACAGGGTCTGGTTGGTTACACAGAAGCTCAATACAGATTTGTGGAATAAATGAATGACGGTGGCCACTTTTTATTATCCCTGTTACTGGTGGGGAAACCGAGGCCCAGGGGGCTAGGTAACTTGTCTCAGGAAGATCAAATCCCATGACTGCTGCCTCCCAACACTGCACAGCCTCTCCCAGTAGGTCAAGTCCTCACTGGGCCAGGCTGGCCAGCTGTTAACATGTTGGGCTGTGGAACCTGGAGCAGTAGTTCAGGTGGCGAGACCTCCATGTGCTACACCTGGGAATGGTGCCCCCTGCCTCTGGGGTCACTGTCCTGTGTACAGAGGACCGAGATAAAAGAGGGAGGTGGCCATCTGCAAATGACCGTGATAATGGCCTGACTGGGGGAAGCCTTGTGCTTCCTACTCATCCTCAGAGGCTCATACTCCCCCCACCACCTGGCGGGGCCACGGGGCTGGTGTGTGATCTGGCTGAAGAGGTTCAGTGGGGAGACCCTTTAGTGGCTCCCCCAACACCCATCTTCCTGAGGGTGATGATCCTCTAGGCCAGGATCCCCAGCTGGCACCAAGGAAAACAGCAGAAGCAGGTCTGGGAGCCGCTCCTCACTTATCTCCTCCCTGATCCTCCCCAAATGGCCCTGCACCTTGGGGACTGAGGCTCCTGATTGGACCAGATGAGAGGGGGAGGCAAGTGGGCTTAAGGGCCTGCTCTGGAGCGGGTAGAAATGAGTTAAAGTGGGCGCAGGGGCTGAGTCCCAGAGAAGTCCCAGGTGTTACCTCAGCAGCTCCGAGACCATCGCACTGTCAGGACATGAGCAGACACAGATGGGCCAGGCCTCCTCTCCATGATGCCACCTGGGCCAGCTCCCCACAGGCCTGCCCCCTGCAGACCGCTCAGTAAAGTCCCGACTCCAGGCCTCACCCTGACAACAGGCTGCAGCCTTTGGTGGGGCTGGGCCAGGGAGACATTCCAGACCTGGAGAAGGCAGAGGGGCAGGGAGCCTGTGTGCCGGCCGTGCCCTGGGGTTCCGCTCTCGTTTACCCGAGGCTCGTGGTTTAGCCACAGCTCAGCATGGGCCTGTCCATAGGCCCCCCACACTGCCCCTACCCCACCCCCACCTCAGCCTCTGGCCGGGGAGGGCCGCTCCCTTTGCCCATCATCCCTCTGCCTCTTCTCCCTCCTTCCTTTACCCTAATACCTCACCGTCCTGCGTCTCTAGGGAACCCTCTCTCCCTCAGGCATGTTCTGGGCCAATGCCCCGCTGGAACCCCAGTGGACTCTGAAATAAAGACCCAGACAGTGTCACACTCACTTTATTGGAATAGAGAACATAGGCAACAGGAGCCACACGCGATGCTGGCAGCTCCAGGTCCCCTGCTCCCATCCCTCAGCCCCAAGGCCTGGGGACTCCACCCCCACAGGCCTCCTGCTTGTCTGGACCAGGAGAAAGGTGCCTTCACTTAGGAAGCTGCAGAGGGTGGGAACTTCCAATGTGCACTACGCTGCCAGCTCAATGATTAGCAGCAAACGACGACATCATCATCAACAAGACTGGACTTGACATTTCACAAAAAGACATGTAGGGAGTAAAGAGGACTCACGACACCAGTGTTAACAAGTCCCACAACAGAAGCTATGACACTGCTGTGGCTGGCCACACACCACCAGGGCAGGCAGCAGATCCACGGGAGGCCGATGGCACAGGAGGCTCCGGAGGGGCCGGCATTGTCACTCCCGGGATGAGAAAGAATCAACTGAACACGTATGTTCACATTCCACGGGAGAACAGTCAAATGAAGGTACCAAAAGGAGGATAAATCTCAAAAAAAAAACCCCCAAAAAACCTGCTTCCCTACACTGAATGGACGCCTGAGCTGGACACCAAGGGCCCTGGGCTAGCCAGTGAGCTCAACAGGCAGCTCCCGGCCGCACAGGGCCTCCCACTGGCGGGCCAAGAGTGAGATGAGCTTCTCTCGGCTCTCGGCGCTGGGCACAAACACCTGCCACTGGACCTCGCGGCCCTGGCCGGCTCTGGCTAGACCATCTGGCACCTCCCCGAAGTGGTCCAGGGTGACGTTGCCCATGAGGTCGTGGCCTTGCACGTCGTCAAAGACCAGGGTGAGAGCCTGTGGGTAGGTCTGGTAGCCCATGAGCACACGGTCCAAGTCCCGGACACGGCGGCCATCGTCGAGCCGGTACCGGTCCCTCTGTGGCGGCTCTTTGGCAAACTCGGGCAGCGGGTAGTGGACAAAGTCCTCGTCCAGGAGGAAGATCTCGGCGCTGGTGAGCAGCAGCGTCTTGGGGCGCAGCGTGCCCCTGCAGCGCCCAGGTGGCGGGGTGCCCACCTGGAAGGCCTGCACATACAGCAGGATGCTGAGGGCCGGTGCCTTCCCTGGGTCCGCCATCGTCTGGGCCACGGTGAACGTCAGGTCCCCGACCTCCTCCTCACTGGGGTAGGTGAACTTGACCCGGCTCGCGTGGACTAGCTCGTAGTTCTCCATCTTCCCTGCAGAGAGAGACGCCCACCGTGCTGGAGCTGGAACTGTGGTGCGATGGGAGTGTCGGTGGCCACAGGCCTCCCAGAGGCAGGCAGGGGCACTCCAAGCCCCAGTGCCCAGCGGAGAGCCACAGGCCAGCAGCCCAGAGCAGGTGTGTCTACCAGATGGACAGGGGTTTGCTGGGATGGAGACTGCCATGGGAAACCTTAGCTGGCTGAGCGGGATGAGAGAGAGAGAGTGAGGAAGAGAGTGCTCCGGGCAAGCTGCGCCCTTCGGGCTGGCGAGGCCAAGTGGCCCGTCACAGCCTGAGCTGGGCGGGTACCTGTGGTCTTGTTCCCGAACTCCGAGTAGAAGTCCTTGTCCACAGGCTCAGGCGAGGGCGTGCGTTCCAGCGAGGAGAGCACGGCCATGAGGTGCTGGAGGAAGCAGTGTGTCAGGTAGCTGTCCCGAGTCAAGCATGTCACCACCTGCACCGGGGAGGAGCCTGTGGGAGCAGGGGCCGGTCAGTTACGGCAGCCGCTCCCAGCCCTGTCCTCGCTGCTAGAACCATCTCCAGTCTAGCAGGTCAGCCTGGACCTGGAGACCACACAGCCAGGGCCAAGAAGGCCCACGTGGGAAAGCATCATGGGGCCTGAACAGAAGGCCACTTCTCAGGCCGGAAGGGCTGTGACAGTTTTCTGGAAGGGGATACAGAGGCATTGGGGAAAGAGCTTAGTTTTCTCTCCTCAGGAAGTGTGAGTCAGAAACATCCTGCTTGAGCACAGGGCCCACTCCGCCTGCCTCCGGCACTGCCCCGCACTTGCTGCTCTGTCCCTCCAGCCCCGCGCCCTGCCGGTGAGTTCTGCACTCTCAGCAGTTCCTGAAGCCGCTTCCTCCAGCTCCCCTGAAGGGGCTTGTGAGCAGAGGACTCTGCCTGCGATAGCACACCCACAGATGGAAGGCGGGAGCCCACTGGTAACACTGGCCTTCGCTAAAATAGGACAAAGCAGTGGTCACTCACCCGTCAGCCGGAAATACTGGTCAAAAAGCCCAACGTTGACTGCCTGTAGGTCACTGAGTTTTAAAACAAAGCACTGGGAGATGTGGAAGGGACTGTTGTTGTAGTCAGTGTTTTTCTGATGCCAGAAATCTATGGAGAAAGGGGGTGGAGGGGGTGCCAGGCGAGCATGAGGGGCCGTGCACAGCTGAGCCCAGTAGAAATGGGTCCCCTTGGCTGACCTAGGCAACTGATGAGCACCATCCCCCCTCCACACACGAGGCCTCATGGGCGATCTGAGCCGTGCCCGACTCAGTGGAGTCACTCAGTGGAGTCACCCACTGGGGTTGTGAGGGGCAGAGCTGCTCCAGCACTTATGGCTAGTGCCCAGGGGCTCCCAGGTCCTGGCTTGGCGCCTTCATGTCTGACTCTAGGTCCCTCATGACAGAGTGGGGGGGGCCTGTTTCACCCCCACCCCCAAGAGATTCTCAGTCCAGTGCAGCCGAGGCACTGCTGGCTGAGGCCATACAGCAGGCCCATCCCTCGGGCACAAGCTCCTGGTCCCGGCGGCGGCAGCCCGGTGCCTACCCTGCAGTGGCTCGGAGAAGTGGCGGCGGAGGCCGTCGTGCAGCACGAAGTACACGGCCTTGGTGGAGAGCAGCATGCAGGCGGTCACCTCCAGCCCCGGGGTCTGGTAGAACACCACCGAGGACCACATGAGGTGCCTCAGCTCCTCGTTCTCCACCTGGACACAAAGGGGCGGGTCAGGGCTGCAGGAGAGCAGGGCCGGGCAGAACATGCAGCTCTTCTCCAGTCCGCACCTGAAACAGACCTCTGGGCAGGCCCCCACCAGACCCCCCACCCTGCTGACGTGCCCGTAGCCTTGGATGAGGAGACTCAGGCAGGCCATCACATCTTGTCAATAGGTTAATAAACTTGGAAGCAGAGAGGTGAGGAAGGGGAGATGGATGTGCAGTGCGATGTGCCAGGGGCCCAAGAACTGGAATGGCCGCAGGGGGCAATGAGGATAGGACAACTGACCAGGAAAAGGCAGCCCGGGACCTCCCAACCCATGCCCTCCCGCTGTGAAGAGCTGAAGCTGGGGAAAAGCCAGCACAGAGAAGTCAGAGAAGCTGAGGCTGACCCCAACACAAGCTGCCCAGTCTCCAGAACCTACTATGCTATCTCTCCACACCAGCGCCAGCCAGCGAGACCAGCACCCAGGCCACTACCTCTGCAACGCTGCTGTGGAAGAACTCGACGATGGCGCTGCCCCGCAGGCTGGCAATGTGCCGGAGCGACGCGCAGGCGGGCAGGTGTGAGGGGATCTGGTTCTCCTCTGAGGTGGACTGGATCAGGTGCTCGCTTGGGTACTGGGCGGGGGCCTCCGCCGAGGCTGGAGCTGGGGTCTCCTCCGGGGCTGAGGCCTCTGGTGGGGCTTCCGCTGGAACCAAAGCTGGCACTGAGTCCGTTGGGGCCGGAGCTGGGGCCTCCTCTGGGGCTGGTGCCTCTGCCGGGGCCTCCTGGGGACTCTGGTCACCACTGCACCTCCCAACCCCCCAAAAAGACTATATTAAGATGTAGACCCCAAAGGAGGTTCATATCACATGCTCAACCTCAGAAGTGTGAGGGGAATGCATGCACCACGCACACTCCCTCTATGGGGCTCTGGGAAGACAAAAGAGCAGAGAAAAGGTGCCCAGGCCCTTTCTCTCGGGAGACAGATGGGCAGATGGGGGCACCCCAGGGCTAGGACGGCCAGATACTGGTGGCCCATAAAACCAAACACTTATATTGAGCAGGTGGTGGAGGAGTCATAAATGTCACTGCACAGTCCAGAGTATGACCCAGGGCTGGGATCTGGGTACAATCAAGTCTGAGAACCAAAAACTCAAATTACCCCCTCAGTCTGCCGTTGGGTCCTCTAAGGTGGCTCAGGCTTTCCTCCACCCCAACCTGGACACGGAACCCTTAAAGTCCTGGAGGTTGGGGCGCCCCCTGACCCAGACTACATGCCTACATGCCAGTGCCTGTGCTGAGGGAATTGTCTTCTCAGCTGGCCAGTGCCTGCCCTCAGGCCTGCTCTGGGCCACATGCCCCTAAGCAGCCCCGCTGGCTGTGCTCCTGCTGGCGCGGACAGAGATGCGGCTGCAGGAATGCAGCAGGGCCTGTTCCTGCACTGTGGGAAGGTTCCAGCCAGGCTCTCAGGTGGCAGGGAGACGTCACCAAAGCCTTAGCATAGGGGCAGAGAGATGGGGGGACAGCTGGCAGGGCCGCCTGGGGCCTAAGCGGTTCTCTAGGCATCAGAGGTCTCTACAGAGGGCATGGCATTTGAGCTGGGCACAGGAGAGGCACCCAAGTTAGCCAAAAAGAGGTTGGAAGCATCAGTTCGGAGGGAAGGTTGGAGGGAGAAGGCAGGCCCCGTGAGATGCTGGGATGAGAATATGGTCTCCACTGACCACCAGGATGGACGAGAAAGCGAGCTTGACTATGTCTCAGGGAACAAGAAGGTGACAAATGAAGGGCTTTCTTGCCCCAGCATATGTGCGGCCAGGGGACAGTGAAAGGAGATAGGGACCCCCTTAAGGGCACAGGCCCCTGGAGCCTCAGATGGAGGTGAGCTGAGGGTGGGACCATGCCCTGTGCCCTCCCAATGACGCCCCTACCCCAGCCTCAGGCAGCCCTCAGGGAAACCCAAGGAGGGGGCCTGAGGAAAGCCAAGCTGGAGGAGGGGGCAGGGCAGAGAAGAGAGTGAGAATGAACAGGACAGGGCTCCCATCTGCCACTCCTTTCTGTGCCTCAGTCTCCCCCAGAAAACAAGGAGCTTTGCATAAGATGACTACCCAGCTCACACACTCAGCTCCTTTGACGGGACTTCCCAAATTACACACAGAAAGAGAGTCCCATCAGCAACCCAGACCTTCCTGAGTAGGGCTGGGTGGCACTCAACAGGGTAAGGCTTGGCACGGGACTGTGAGCCCCTGAGGGGAGGAGATGGTGGGCGATTCTTAGGGGCTGGGCTGGGGCCCAGTGGGGCAGAGCAGAGAAGGCCAAGCAAGGCAGGGCGATCTCCTCAGCCGGGCCTGCACTGCTGGCAGGAGCTCAGGCACCCGGACCCAGCCATGCAGGGCCCTCAGTGGCAGGGGACTGGGCCAGACTGTCCTTGTGAAAGCCTGGGAAAGAGGAGCAGCCCTGTGCCAAGCCCAAGGGAGTGAGGGACACTGCTGAGGGCGGTCAGGAGCTGCGGAGCAGCTGAGGGGCTGGGCCCACCTAGACCCACGTGCACTCTGCAGGTGCTCAGAGATGGGGTTTGAAGTGAGTGGTCTCAGACGCAGTAAGGTGAACTCCCCGTGCATGTACAGCCCCATGCCCCTGGCCCCCAAAGCCTGTGCTCAGCCTCACCTGACCCTGTTCTCAGCAGGCCGGCCGTCCACCAGGGGCCGCTGGGCCTGGCCCCCCGGAGCAGGGGTCTTGGCGATGACCACGGTCTTCAGGTCCTGCAGCGAGGCCCGCAGCTGGTTGTAGACGCGCAGGAAGTGGAACTTCTCGTGGGGCAGCACGAAGATGGCGGTGACGAAGCGGTAGCCCACAAGCAGCTCCAGCACGTGGCCGTCGGCAAAGGCGCCCCGGGGCTGGGTGCAGCTGCGCGTCGGGTCCAGCAGCACGGTGGAGAGGGGCACGCGGCTGAGCTTGAAGCTGTTGCGGTTGCGACAGTTGTGGGTCCCACGGTTGGGCATGGGGTTGAAGTCAGCCTTGATGACGTTGAGGTGCTGGGGCGTGAGCAGCAGCCAGTAGGGGATGGCGGCGGACTTGACGGCCTCGGAGGGCGCGCAGCAGGAGCGCCGCACGGCGGAGCAGAGCGTGCAGCTGGCCCACTCGATGTTGCCCGAGTAGTCCCCGGCGGCCGTCCGCACCATGCGCTTGTCGCTGTACACCAGGTAGACGGGGAAGCAGCCCTGGCTGCGCTCCTGGCAGCCGCCCGCCACCTTGTAGAAGGTGAGCAGCTGGCGGAGGAACTCCTGCAGGCTGGTGTGGCTGCCGTAGAGCACGGGGCTGCACAGCATGGCCATGTGCTGCGGGGCGAAGCATGCGCGCAGGTCGGCGTGGAACTCGTGCAGGTTGGCGGCGTCCGAGATGATGAAGAGTGTGTTCTCGCTGTGCCGCACCTTGAGCACCAGACACAGCTCTGGCATGAGGAAGCCGAACTCGGTGAGGTCGCCGTGCGGGAAGCAGAAGACGAAGCGCAGGGAGGAGAGGATGTGCTGGCTGCTGCCCCGCGACTCCTGGTGCGGGATCTCGAAGACGGCGATGCCGAAGTCGGTGAGCACGAGGCAGGCGGCGAACTGGCGGATGCTGCCCTGCACGTGGATCAGGAAGCACCAGAGCACCTTGAGGATGCGGATGTGCTCCAGCAAGAAGTCCTCGTCTGCACCCAGGGCCCACTCCAGGGCCAGGCGCTCCTCCTCACCATCCTCCTCCTCCTCCTCCTCCTCCTCGTCTTCCTCTCCCCGGCCTCCTTCCTCCTCTTCCTCCACGTCCGGAGGCCCCATTTCAAAGTAGCGGTTCTCAGCCACGTCCTCGTCGTTGTCCTCCTCGTCCTGGCCCTCCTCCCGCTGGTTGGCGGCCTCGATCCAGGCAGGCAGCTGCCGCTCGATGGCCTGCCGGATGAGTGTGCTGAGGCGCTGGATGAAGTCCTGGTTGGTGGCTGTGTAGCCAATGCAGGTGAAGGGCAGGAAGATGATTTGGCCAGACCCAGGCACCACCTGGACCTCCGGCTCCGAGTGCTGTGAGCTGTGGAGAAGCCAGGTCAGTGACACGCTGGGCTGGGACATCCCAACTCTTAAGTCTGGGGCTACACCCTGGTCCCGAGGAACCAACTCATGGGTATGCCAAGCCTGCTAAAAAGCTAAGCCTATTCCTAGGACAAATGCCCGCAGGGGAGCCAAGGTGCTAGGAGACTGGGGCCACCAGTTTCTCCAAAGTCCACATGCCCAGGACTCTGATGACAGATGTTCAGGCCGGTCCTCCCTCCAGAAGCATCACAAAGATCTGAGTCATCAGGCGCTGGCCGCGAGCCCGAGGCAGAGCATGGAGTCGCTTGCTGACAAGTTCCCTTCGGGGAGTGCTTAGGTCCTTCACATTTAAATTCAAGCCCCTCTCGGCCACTGCTGCCTCACAAAGTGTGTGTACGTGGGACGGGAAACCTCCTCTGCAAAGGGTCACAGGATGGATACTTCGGGCTTTTGGGGCCCCCAACCACATAATCTTTTCTTTTTAAAAACAGCTCCTTAGCATGGGACAATCATTCTTATCTCACAGGCTGTGGACCAAACCAGCCTCGATCTGCTGCTCCCTCGTGTAGGATGACATAAATGTCATTTGACTCAAATTTAGAAGTAGACCAGAGCTTTTCATATCTGTGCTTACTTTTAGTATACGTGCTGCCGAAGCGAGCATGGGAAGAGGTAGTTCTGGAGGACTCCTGCGAATACATATTTAACAAAATCCAACTAGCTACCACTAGCCCTCAGTTGAGTGTGTTCAGCCTTCTCAACCGCTTCCTTACCTTGCACCGCCAACAGCTCCAGGAACGTCCCTTAAATCATCAGGAGGTGCCTGACAGAGAAGGAAATGTGTCAGCCCCCACCTGCGTCAGCCATTCCCTGGCATTTTCTGGTGCTAGACCCTGAGCCAGGCACCCTACCCTCCACCCTCCCCCCCTGCAGGAAGTTCCTCACCGTCCCACGCTCCATTCTGGGGTGAATTATGGGGGTGGGAGCCAGAGAGAGCCCCAGTTATCCTGCCAGTGCACAGCAAGGCTGATTCCCGCCGGGCCAGTTTGCCCCCAGCTCACACTCCCAGCTCCTGGGCCAGAACCTCTTGCCACTCTGAAGTTCAGTTTGTGCCGCTGAGTCTAGCACCCGAGTGCTCCCTGTGCTACCCCAGAGGGTCCTCATGGACAGTACACCAATTTGGCAACTGGCCAGCAGAAGACACAGTGAACAGAGGCTGCACAGTACCTGGCAGGGCCCTCCCAGGGGTCTCTGGACAACAAGGAGGGAGAAGGGAGTGCCATGGTGTGCTGGGATAAGGTGAGGCCTCTCAAACTACCACAGGGTCACATGGCCCTGACTATTGCTGAATAGAGATGGGACTAAGGGAAGTCTAAGTAGCAAGCACTCTCTCCAACGTGGCAAATGAGCCACTCACACTTGCCTCCTCCTCTCTTCCCAGGACACACGGGGGAGCTCTGGAACAATTAGCAGCAGCCAGAGAAGGTGCACAGTCACAGTGTCCCAAACTACCGGGATGACATGCAGGGATGGGCAGAATAGCCCTGGGGTGCCAGGCAACAGGGGAGAAACTCTTCCTGATGGGTTTGGAACCCAAACAAGGCCCCCTCCACTCCAGAACCTTCAGAATGCTTTCCCCAAGGGAATCCACTCATGTGAACTAAAGGGTATCAGGCTTTGCCCTCCAGGCCCAGTGAGAGAACTGTCTGTTCCCACTAACAGAGGGACATAGGAGCGGGAGAGAGTGAGAAGTGGGGAGAGGAGGAAAACAGGGAAAAAGGGAGGGAGAGAAAGGAGGAGGGAGGGAGAGAGGGAGGGAGGAAAACACAAAGCTTGAGTGCATCAACCGCAGGCAGCACCTGCCACAAGTCTAGGCAGGTCACCTCCTATTTCCAGATAGCCTCAGACAGAGCTGGCACAGAGGTAACCAATCCGCAGAAGCAGGAGGCAGGCATTACCTGTCCTGCAGGGATGGACTCCAAGGAATCAGAGCATCCCCGAGCAATGGGCCGGTCCTCGGGAGTAAGACTGTCGGTGGATGAGAGGCTGCTGGCCAGGGCCTCCTCTTGCACAAACATGATTCCTGGAGAGACCAGGGGCAGGCGGGTGGGACAGTGGGGCAGGAAGAGCAGCCATTCAACAAATGGATGGGGCCCTCGGGATTCTGGCATGGCCGGGGGATTGTCAGACCCCCAGACCCAGCCACATGGATTACAGAAGAAAATGTTAAAACTGAAATCTTGAAATAACTTGAAGAAAGAACACATGATTGCTTATCCAATTTCAGGGTAGAGAGAGACTTTCTGGGCCTAAATCGAAAGGAAAAATGTGACTACATAAAAACTAAACTTCTATAAGTGAACAAAGAAATGAAAAAAGGCACTTGCAGTATTTGATGAACATTTATAGCTTCCTATAAAAAGCTGTTATAGCCCTAACCAGCTTGGCTCAGTGTTGTCTGAGATAGATCACTGGCCTGTGGACTGAAGGGTCCCAGGTTCGATTCCGGTCAAGGGTATGTACCTTGATGTTTCTCTCTTATCTATGTTTCTAACTCTCTATCCTCTCCCTCTCCCTTCCTCTCTGTAAAAAATTAAGAAGATATATATATATATATATATATATTTTTTTTTTAAAACTGTTACAGATGACAAAAATAAGGGATAAAGCTGGGAATCTCACTAGGAGACAAGCTACGAAAAATGCAGACACGTTTCACAAGATGGCCAATAGATATCACACAAAACAATGTTCACCCTCCTTCACAAATAAGCACAGAAGGGCAAGCTGGAATAAGACAGCAGTTTAGTCTCTCATTTTGGCAAAGTTTAGACTGACTGCGTGGCCCTGACTTGACCCAACTGGCGTGGGAGCTGGCCTGCCTGTCAGGAGAGCAGTTTGGCAATATGTCCATCAAGAGCCTTAAACATGTTCACTCCTAGAGCCTTCCCAGAGAAATGGCTCGACACAGCCCTCCCGATCTGACATCTCTGCAGAGCTTCCCAGACACACAAGGGCACAGGACCTGGAGGACTAACCACGCCCGGTACCCGTGGCTTGCTTCCACAGGACCAGCCCTCTGGCCTCCCCGAGTCAGCCTTCCACGGACAGCACACGCTGACTTACTGTGTGCACTGTGGAAACACTGGGTGTTTTTAAATCCTGCTGAGTGTCTAAGCCTGATATCTCACATCTACTGGCCTCGGGCAAAGCCTTTTTTTAATGTTTTCCTAAGTGCAGCTTGTTGGGTGAACACTGGGCATCAACCTTGTTTCACAAAAATCTGGAGGAGCCCAAGGCTTGGCCTGGCTTTACGACCAGGCACCATAAGTTAGAGCCCCGGAGGTCACAGACCCGAGTCCAGCTCAGCTGCTGCCCAGGGACAAGACAACTCACGGAACCCAGGTCCTCTGCCCATGGGAAAGAGGCAGGCAGAGGGCCCAAGCCCAGACCTCCCCACCCCCTTCCAGCGAAGCAGCAGGGGTGCACAGGCAGGAAAAGCAAGCACACAGCTAAGCATAAGTGCCCTGTTCTCTCCCAGAATGCCCCTCCTCCCGCACATGCTCAGGCCCTGCCCAGCTTCTGAGGACCCCTACACATAACCTCCACTGCAAAGCCCCCTGCTCTAAACATACCTCTCCCTCTATAAAATATCCCAGGCACTCTGTCCTTTCTCCCGGGGCACACAGCTTCCTCGGGGGCACTGTCCTGGGCATCCTGAAACTCCCCAACAAGGACGCGCGAGAGGGAGCCTCCAGGACCACTTCTGATGAGCCAGGAGCAGTGCTCGGTGCTTCTTGTGTTGGCTCACGCACATCTTGTTTACAGTTCATCACATCTAAGATGCATGGGCGTGCATCTTAGTCTTAAGAAGACTTTCACACGACTCCATCACGAGTACCAGCAACTATGAGACAACACTGACTGAAAGACGCATCTCAATTTCAGAAGTTGTGTGCATCTTAGAAGTGATGAGGCTGGGTGTTCACACTTCGTAGTTGAGAAAAAAGAACTTCAGAGAGGCTACAAGTTGCTTGAGGGAACACAGCCAAAGAAGCTGGAACACAAACTCAGCTATCTGACCCCAGGAGCCTGCTCCTCACCCCTTCTCTCCAGCCTTCCAGCTCTGGCCTGCCTGGTGAGCCCACCCGGCATTCCGCACATTAGCGCCTATCGGTACAATCCTCTGTGGCTCCAACCAGCTGGCTAACAGCTCTTGACATGACCAGAGGCCTGATGCTCACTGGCCAGTTCCCCTTCACGCAGGCCTGAGCGCCCAGTTTATTCACACATGTACACACTTCTAGGGATCAGGCTGGGAGCAAAGCTGTTCCCACATGGAGAAATCCATGCCCAACCAGCAAGACCAAGCAGCTCATGGCTGGACACAAAATATCTGTGGATTTCTCCATATTAGTGAGAAAAGAAAGCAACATTTTCTTGCCACCCCCACGCCCCACCCCCCACCCCAGCCCTGTTTGGAGCCAAGGAAGTGAGAAATGGGATCATCTCCCTGCTTCCTTCCTGGACCAGTCAGTACAAACAAGTGGTCAGAAAGGGCCACTCAGAGGATGGGATGAGGACATCAGGAGAGCAATTGGATGGGGGCCCGACTTTGCTTCTCACAGAAAGGAAAGAGAATGTGCACACACAGACATCCACTGCAGTTTTATTTATAAGAGGTGCAAGTCTGGAGACAGGGTCTAAATGTCCAGCAGCTGGGGAAGGGGAACAGACTGGTGAGCCACTTGGTGGTGTGTCCCCAGGACTGGGGGGCAGTGAAAAAGGGGTCCGAGGCCTGGGCCTGGCTGATGCAGAGGCTTCACCTGCAGCTCTGGCCCTGGGGGCGATGCCTCACTCACCCGGCCTGCGGTCTGCTCTCTACCAGCTTGTTCGCTTGCTCGCTCACTCACACACCCGCTCATCACCTCCACAAAAGCTGGCTGAGAACCAGCCAGTCCCTGGCCTAGGACCACTTGCCCCCCTGCCCTCCACAGTGCTGAGGCCCAAAGAGGGTTTTGGCCCTGAGCAGGAGGCGGGGTCAGGGAAGTCTTCAGTGGGATCAAACCCTCCTGCCCCTTTTATGTAAAAAAATAAAACTTTCTCAGTCGTGTTACAAAAGCAAACTGGCAATCGCTCTGGCACGTGACCCGAGCATCCGTTCTCAGGAATGCTGTGACCTCGGTGCACCGCCCTGCAGCAGGCCGACTCCCCTCAGCATTCTCCCTCCTTCCTACCCAGCCCTCCTCTCTGACGCAATGGCTGCAGAGTATTTTGCACCACTGCCTAATCTCCCTCTCAGCCTCTGATGTCTGTCACACCCCCTGCTTTGCTAGCATAAATAGCGCTGCAGTGAGCAGTTCATCATCTCCGCTTCCCATTATCTTATCCCACCAAGATAAACTCCCCACCACTTGGGGTTACCAGGTCAAGGAGTGGGAACGTTTTTCTGGCTCTTGAAACATAGGGTCAAACTGTTTTCCCAAGACCTCACACCAAGTTCTGCATCTCCGGGAGCCCGGGTGGGCGGGCGGCGCTCCTTCCTGTGTCCCGAGCCTCGGTGCCACTCGGGACGGCACACCCTCCCCTCTTCCGCGGGGGCCGGGCCAGCAGACACTCTCATGGGACCTGCTTCACTCACTCATCTCCGAGGATGCCTGGGTTCAGAGGTGAAAGCCCTTTGAAAACGCTAAGATAGTGGGCAGGTGAAAAGGCTTGGTCTTCCATGGGTCCTGGCCAGCCTGTCTGGGCCCCACTAATAGTGTTTGGGCCTGAGCCACTGAGATGAGGCGATGATAAAAGCAAGTTCCCCATGCAGGGATCAAGGCAGCCGATTCAGGACAGTAACAAGGCTTGGCTTTCCGTTAATAAGGAGCCAATCCACCCACACAGCCTGGGGGGGGGGGGGCAGCAGCCCTGAGCCTGTTCCAAGAGCAGCCTCAGGGCCGGAGTGACACCCTATGGCATCCCAGAGGAGCTGATGTGGGTGTCAGAACAATGTGGGGGTGGTCCTCACTAAGCACACCACAGAGCTGAAATCAGGCCAGGCACCCCCACCGTGTGCCACCCGGAGAGGAGCTGGCTGGCAGACAGCACCACACCCACCCTGTGTCTGAACCCTGCCAGGAGCAGGTGCCAGCACCTCCCCCGACCCCAGCCCGGCCAGGGCCCACGTGGCTCTGCTAGGCAGAAAGTACACACGGTATTACCTTGGTTGGAGAGGATGGGCTGGGGCAGGGAGGCGGAGGTGGGCGCCACGGCAGAAGAGCTGCTGGGTCTGATGCAGGGGGCAGTGGAGAGCTGGCAATCCTCGCCAACCTAGGAGAGTGCTCGAGTCAGCCCGGGAAAGAAGAGAAGGATCGGGAAGAACAGAACTCGAAAAGCCAGATGAGGAGGAGAAACTCAGAAGTTCTCACGAACAACGGGGATGGCAAAGTCACTCTCACCTAGTCCTCACAACCCTGTACAGCAGGTCCTCTCACCACCCCACTGTGCAGATGAAAATGGACAGTGTGACTTGCCCAAGGTCATGCGTCAGGACTCAGTGGCTCTGTGTACCCCCTGAGACCAGTTCCACTGGAGCCAGCTCCTTCCTCGGCTGCTCCTCACCACCCGTCCTCCATACAGACCCACCTTCTTCTCAGGCTGGCCCAGTTTGGACTTGACCTCCTTGGCTTTCTGTATTGCTTTCAGCACTTCCACCGTGTCCAGCTCCTTCTCTGTGGTCACTGAGTTGTCCAGACAGACCTACAGAATCCAGAAACGGCCATCAGCCTAGGAGCAGGCAAGCAGAGAGCAGAATGACAGGAGCCTGGCCATGTGGGGCCAGGCCTGTGAGACTCAGCGCTCTGGGAGGCGAGTCCCTCACCACCCATGGAAGTGACCTGCAAGTTCCTTAGAGCCGCCCAGGGCGGTCCCAGTAGGCCTAGTCTGTTACTGGGAGTCCCCTTTCCAAAAAGGTGAGGGATACAGGGACCACTGAAGAGGCCTCTTGGATGGCTGGGGTTGGGGAAGGTGGTGACTTGAACTAAGTCCCCAATTATGGTAAAACTCAGATCAGCAAAGAGCCTAGAGAAGGCCTCTGGCTGGGGAACTGGAGGGCAGAGGCAGGGAAAGCAGGCACCCTGTCTGCAAATGCAGGAGGGGCCGTGGGCCGGCAGGCAGTGCGGAGCGGGCAGGAGGGGAGATGTCACCTGGTGAACACTGTCTCAGTGACAGTGTGAGCAGCATTTGGGCCTGAAAAGAGATTGGGGGAGGGGGCGGATGAGAGAAGAATGCAGACTTCCAGTATCTTCTGGCCTGGAATTTGGGGAAACATGGGAGGAGCCTATTTGAGGCTGAAGAGACGGGTTAACCTGGCTAAAGGCCTGTTCCGTGGGCAGGGTGGCTGTTGGCCGGACACACTCAACAGGCAGCAGATTCTGCTGGGCTCACTGGCAAAGGTGGGTGCACCCTGGGGGTCTGTAGTCAGACTTCATGGCGAGAAATTCTCCAGAACACAGTATTTTAAAAAATATCTTGTTTCTGGGCTTGACCAGGTAACTCAGTTGGTTAGAGCATTGTCCAAATATGCCAAGGTTGCAGGTTTGATCCCAGGTCAGGGAATATATGAGAAGCAATCAAAGAGTGCATAACTAAATGAACAAATTGATGTTTCTCTCTCTCAAAAAAAAAAATTAACCAAATCAATAAAAAATATTAAATATCTTATTTCTAACCCCTGCCTATAATAATCAATGTTACTTTTAACAAGCTGGAGACAGTTCTCCACACTCAGGCGGTGCCTGTGGGCTCATGGGGAGGCCATGTGAGGAACCCCTCTGGGGAACCGTGTGGCCGCTGGCCGCTGACCGCTGACAGGATGAGCTGCAGGAAGGGTGAGGGAGTTTTTCTTGGGGAGGCAGCAGACTTCCCAGAACTGAAAGGCCACTTAGGGCGAGGAAGTCCTTCTGAAGCAGGCCAGGGCAATAAAACAGTGGACATCAGCAGTGGTTCTGGCTGTGAACATGTGGACTCTGTCTAGACTGTCTCTTTGATCAAGCTAACCCCACCCTACGCCCTACCCGGGCAGCCTACCTCAGAGGCCCTCTCTCCAAACTGAGCCAGCACCTTGGTCCGGTAGTCGGGGATGATGCTCAGGGGGTTGTTCAGCAGAGCCACGTGCTCCAGACACGGGAGGCTGCCTATGCTCCGGACCTCCTCCATCTGCAAGGCACGAATTTCATTCCCCTTGTCCCTTCTCGTAACACTTTGGCAACATGACAACACATCTGACAGCCTTTTAGGTGAAAGAAGGCTTAGCATTCTTCTTTAACGTGATAATCCCACCACCCTGACATCCGAACAGGGGACACGGCTCACCTGTTCGATTCTGTTGTTGCTGAGGTCCAAGTTGACCAAGGAGTAGAGCTTGTGCAGGCCACTCAGACTCTCGAGCAGGTTGCCAGCGAGGTTCAGAGTCTTGATGTTCCCCAGTTTGGTGTGAACCCCTTCCAAGGAGGACAGCTTGTTGTAGGACAGGTCCAGGTGTACGAGGTTGTACAGGTGCTGGGGCGACATTGAGAACAGGGTAAAGTGGTCTAGGTCAAGGCTCCAAGGAAAGGGAACAGACACTAATGGTGTGATGCACTTCCAACCCGAAATGGCCAGCTCTGCAGGTCAGCTCTGTCCCTCTGGCCGGTATTTGGAAGGGAGCTCCCTCTTTCCCCCTGCACGTGCCACAGTCCAGTGGCCCTTTCGGCAGAGACAGCACAACACACTGGGTAGGTGTGAGCTTTGTGAATGAGCTTGTACCTTCATGATGGAGGTGCATCATCTTCACCTCGCTTGATTTGTACTTTTCTAATTCTGGGGAACTACAGTGACAATCGCTCCGTGCATCGCTGGGACCCTGCTCCTGCTCCTACAAACCTCTGGGGTACCCAGATACCTTTCCAGTGCCTGTGAGGGAAAACCCAGGGAATGGCCACATTCCCAAGGCTGAGTCCGACTTCTGAACTCTCAGGGACCTTGTAAGCAGCCCATAGGTGGCAACAGTCTTCACAGACATTATTACCTGCAGGTTGTCCACAACTAGCACTCCATTGTGACTCAGGTCCAGGAATTCAAGCTTTGGAATCAGTTTCTTGTGGGAGAAAAAAGACAACACCTGACTTTACTGCAGGAGGCTGGACCCTATGTTACCCCTGCACGTGGTGAACAGACATCATGGGACTTTTTAAAAATGTTTTATTTATTTTTCCTAGAGAGAGGAAGGAAGAGGGAGAAGGAGAAGGAGAGGGAGAAACGTCGATATGAAGGAGAAACATCAATTGGTTGCCTCCTGAATGTCTCAACCAGGGACCAAACCTGCAACCTGGGCTTGTTCCCTGACTAGGAATCAACCTTTTGGTGCCTGGGATGATACTTGCCAAGGCCACCCTGAGACTCTTCTTCCACCTCTATCACCCCCCCTCCCCCCGCCCCATATCCCTCACCAAGGATATTTTTTTCACTGATTTTTAAATAAAGTGGAAGGAAGGGGGAAAGACAGAGAGGAACATCAATGTGAGAGAGACAGATTGATTGGTTGCCTCCTGCATGCACCCCGGAGGGATCGAGCATGCAACCGATGTACATGCCCTTGAATGAAATAGAACCTGGGACGCTGCAATCTAGACTGACACTACAACCACTGAGCTAAACTGCCTAGGGCAAAGGACTCTTCCTTTTGACCGTGAACTCCTGGGCTGGCCATCTCTGCAGGGCCAATGATGTAACACATCCCAGTGTCCAGCCGGCGGCATGTGCACAGGAGCACACAGGGACTCCAATGATGAGCACACACCCCATTTTGACAGAGCACGTGGCTTATGAAAATGACAAATGACTAGGTCCCAGAAAAGAAGTCTGTCCATCTTTTTCTCCAATCCCAACCACTAAGAAGCACAAATACCTGAATCACACTCCTATTTCCCAAATGCTGTCTGGGTGTCTCTCTTACAAAAGCACATCTGGAATCTGTGGAGTGGTTTTTCCACTCCCCTCCTTAGGAGTAAATTTCACCACTATGTTTTTATGTCAAATGTGCATATAGCCAAAACCAGTTTGGCTCAGTGGATAGAGCATTGGCCTGCGCACTGAAAGGTCCCAGGTTCGATTCCGGTCAAGGGCATGTACCTTGGTTGCGGGCACATCCCCAGTAGAGGGTGTGCAAGAGGCAGCTGATCGATGATTCTCTCTCATTGATGTTTCTAACTCTCTATCCCTCTCTCTTCCTCTCTGTAAAAAAAAATCAATAAAATATATATTTTTTAAAATGCATATAAGTGGTATGCCTCATTTGGTTCTAAGTACTATCTCACTTGCTTTAAATAATCCCGTTTTCAAATTTTAAAAATTGCAGGCAATGCACAGAGCCCATGCTTTCTGTGCTCTTTCCAAAAAAAAGCCACTTAAATGCCCAACCTCGGGTAGAAAACCCTAGAGCCCACTGCTGAGAACATACCACAGACTCATCAATCTTGGAGATGCTGTTGTGGCTCAGGTCTAGAGTGGTCAGTGCTTGCCATGTGGGGATGATGGCAGTCACAGGGCCTTCCAGGGCTGCGCCTTCTGGCTCCCACTCATCAAATTCCGAGGCTTCGGGAACGAGGACTTCCTGTGCAAGAACATCTGTTGAGCACACTTGGGGCCTCACGCAACACTCACTGGGAATGCAATCATTGCAAAATTTCAGGAAGAGCTTGGGCATATTTAGCAGGTGGAAGTGAACTTGCATTAAATTTGGGCTTTGGTTCATGTGTCTTTAAGTGATTGTGAAATAACTGAAAAGCTTAGCAACATACAGTTATTTGGGATATGTTCCGGTCCTGCTTCAGGAGCAAATGCTTTTTAAGCTTTTGCCATATATATATAATGCCTTTTCTGGCTTAAATCTCAGAGGCTATAGGTCAGAATTCGTGGTGTTTCCAGGCAACTGTACTTTCCAAGCTGGCACTGTGGACAGCAAGCCCTTTTAACTGTTACTTTACAGGGTTCAAGTCCAGCAATTCTGAGGTAGCAGCACAGTGCACAGGGGCACCATTGAAGGGGAAGGAGGTAGGCCTCCCCATTTTGACGTTTCAGGCCCACAAGTGATCTCGATGGATCACTTTGAGCCCGGGAGCCAGGCGGCAGGAAGTGAGACAAAGTTGCCTGACACTCTTGCCCTTGACTGACACGTCTTTTAGTCAGTAAGCCTCACATTTCACCAAACCTAAATCTTGATCTGACAGTCTAAATCATAAAAGTTGCCACTATGCTTTTCTGGAGAATTTTAACATTACTAAAATGCAATCCACAAGAATGCAAAAATAAACCTCTTACATTCTCAATGTGAGTATTGCTGCAGCTCATATACAAACATCAGAGCCTAACACATCCACAGCCTCACCTGTCTCCTTTAAGTCCACTAAGAACAAGACACAAACAAGGGCCAATTCAGGGCTTTTTAAGCTTAGAGAAATATTTATATCAATCTAGCTATAAATGTCCTGCCCAATTGCCACTGCTTAACAATTTGCCAATTTGCTCATCAAACACCAGTGACCTTTTTTTTGAGGGCAGGGGGTGGGGACCCAGTTCCTTAAAATGTCTTAACAGCATGATTTCTGATGAAGATGTGGACTAAAGCTTACCAGGCGTTGCTAAGTGCTGGGATGTCTCCCATGAGTGAATGGCTACCCAGGCCTAGGGAAGGTTCAGCTTCTGGTTTCTGATAGTGGTGGTGCACTCCCACCCTCGGGGGGGGGGGGGGGGGGGGAGGAGGGGAGGGTGTCACAGCACAGAATCCTGCCCTACAGATATCTCCAGGCAAGAAATAGGGGGCACTCGCCTTCATCGAGGTTGCTGAGAAGCGCACACTCATCGTGCCTAAGGTGGGCTTCGAGGCGACCAGTCCCCGGATGTGCTTGGCATCACAGTGGCTTATCTGGAACAAGGAACAGCCATGTCTCAGGAACGGCATCACTTATCGACAGAAGCCTTGGGTAGTGGCAAGAGGTGATCCAAATCCTGTCTCTCCTTTCCCCAGTGCTGACTAAACAGCACCTGAAGAATCTGGTAAGACTCAGATTTTCCATGTAGGGGCTGCTTGGGGCTCGGCAGGTGGACAGAAAGTGGGCCACAGAGATCAGAGCTGAGAGCAGGGGGCCTCTCAAGCACAGTGAACACATGGACCCTCCTGTTCACCCTGCCCCACTCCCCTGGTGTCCGCTGTCCTGTGAGGGGCCATGGGGACCGGAGGCATGCAAAAGCCAAAGCACACTCCCCTGAGCCACTGCTGGAGTGACACATACCCAGACCCTGGCAGTGGAGCCTCAGCCGGCTGAGCCAAGGCCAGGCTGGGCCAGGCACCCTCTGACTTCTCAGTCCTCACTTGGCCTGCACTGGTTGAGTTCCCACAAGTTCCCACCAAGGGAAGCGGTCCTCCAGGCTTCTGAGACAAGCCCAAATGTTGCAGGCAGAATAGTCCATGTGTAGCAGAGGCTCTGGTGTTGGGATTAGGTGAATTGAGATCCCAGCTTTCTCCTCATTAACCATGTGGTCCTGGCCAAACTCCCCAACCTCCCTAAGCCTCAGTTTTCTCAAATATAAAAGGGGAATAAAAGTGCCCGCTTTACAGGGATATTGGGAAGAATCCACCAAGGAGTGTACATCAAACATGGGGCACAGGGCTACACACAAAGGCCATGTTTGAGAAATAGATGTTTTAATACATTTTGTATTATTCGTTACAGAATCCCCCTTTCATTTTAAAAATGGCAACAAAACTGGCATCCTGAACCCAAATGTTCAGCAGTGAGTAATGCAAAGTTATGTACGGGCGTGCCAGAAGGTAGAGACCTCAAAGCCCTCTGCTGACCTGCCTTGGGAAAGACCTGAACTAGTTCTGCCTGAGCCTCAGGATGACTTCTCAGCACTTCAACTCGAACGAGGAGGCCCCAAAGGAGTGGGCTCTGGTGCTCCATCCTGCTCAAATGTTGCCCATGCCAGGGGTAGAGACATGCAGACCAGCCAAGAGCAGCAGAGCCCCTTTCTCTGCCTTCAGGTTGGCCTTACTCCCCAGACAGAATCTGTCACAGACGGACCAGCACAAAAGTAACAGTGCTTACATTAAGTCCAGTGAGTCCTAAGCAACACCGTCCCTGTGCAGGACTCAGCCTCGCCTGCACTCCAGCCCACGGCCTTACCTCCACCTGATGGAGAGACTTGAATATTGACAGATCGAAAGGCAGGAGCTGCTCCCGAATGTTGCTGGTCCCAAAAGGTCCTTCTGTGCCAGAAACCTGCAGCACAGATGTGGCTTGTCAGGGATGCCGCCACATGGCTCCACAGCCTAAGATCTGGATGGCAATGAGGCATGGTGGGCATGCACCCCATCAACAAAGGCTAAAGCTGAGGTTTAAAGCAAGGAACATTAGGCCATGACTGCCCCCTGGTGCTCACAGCCAGAAGCTCAGTGCCAAGAACACCAAAGTGGCCTTCCTTCCTGGGATGGCCCACCAGCCTCTTTCACACACACTGCCAGTCAGTGAGCCCTTAGGCCCCATGCGGGCTACACGCCCACCATGTCTACAGATGAGCTGCTGCACTTACCTTAAGGTACTTAAGGCGACAGGTGAAGTCCAGGATGTGCCCGAGATCAGTCTTGGCGTCCCCACTGGCACACGTGGGCTTTCCCAGCTGCAGCTGCTCAGTGACCGCATAGAGCTGCAGGGGCCTGATGGCAAAGACCTCGCCGGCCCCCAGGAGCTGTTCTCCTGCAACAGCCATACCGAAGGTGAGCACCCACCTCCAGCCTGTCCTTGTCCAGCGGCCAGGGCGTCTGCCCACCTGGCTAACAGTTAACAAGCATTTGGCAAGCACCTGCTATGGGCACTGCACCACATCAGCCACCATTCTGGGCACAGAAGAGCAGCTGCTTCCTGAACTCATGGTGGGCTCAGGGCACGTCCAGAACATGGCATTAGGGAGGGAAGGGCCATGGGGATGTGTGCCTGGGGAGCCTCCCTGAGGTGAGGCTCAGTTAAAACCTGACGTTTTAAGCCAGGATAAAGCTGACGCAAGGCAGCATTGTGGACAACAGACCTAGGCTGCAACCTCCAAGATACAGACACCTTAGTTAGGTGAAGCCTCAAATGCCAGCACTGTGTAGAGGGCCTGAGAGCAGGCAGGGGTCCTCACTCTGCTCCTTCCAGCCATGTATCCTCAAGCAGATCACCAAGCCTCTCATCCTCAGTGCCCTCATCTGCACCTCCCATTCCCCAAAGGAGAGAGAGAGGGAGGCGTAGCAGTAAGATGCTGAACACTAGGCTGGACCACAAGAAGCACACTTCACACATTAGCTACTGTAACTATGCTCTACTGCAGGTCCATGACCCATGCGCAGCTCCTTGGTTTGCCATCTGATCACTTTTAGGTAAGGACAAATGAGATGCAAGAGGGCACGATGCTCCTCACCTTCCAGAATTCCACCACAGGGCTTTGAACTAGATCCTGAGCTTGGGATTACCCCTGAAGACAAGAACCTGAGCGCCCCAAGGTGAAGGACCCCCCACCTCCTCAGAGCTGGCTGCCAGCAGGGCAGGTAGGCGGGCAGGCTTGGCTGTGGATCAGATTCAGGGACCTGGGCAACTCCCGGGAGATGAGCCCTGGCTAGGATTCACTTGGCACAGCCCAACAGATGGGAGTTCTGTGCCACCTCGTGCCCCTGGCCACTTAACAGTGCTGAGTAAGTTACACCAGTATTTCGGGGACCCCTGGCCACATACCTTTTTCAAAGAGCTCCTCAGCCAGTGTGGCAGTGATGCCGTTTACCTCCTGCAGAGAAAACAAAACCCAGTTAGGAAGTCTCCTGCCCCTAGTCACTGGAATTTGCAGTCATTAGAACTTGCATCTCCTCTTGCACCCCATCTACCTCCTCTGCTATTGCATCACCAGCTCTCCAGAAAGCCTGACAAAATAAAGAAGTAAACCTATAACGAATCCAGGTGCCTAAGAAAGGGAAAAGAAATATTCCCAGTTACATGGACATTTAAAATGTCTCCTCAAAAGCAGAACAGAAACCAGACTAATGCTGCAACTTAAACTCAGAGAAGCACTGGCTGAGAACATGAGGCTCGGGAGGCTGGCAAACTTGGCTATGCCAAGAACTAGCCAGGAAGCCAGCAGCTCCCTATACCAGCCCTGGGAGATCCGAGGAGGGCAGGGTAGAGAGAAAGCCCTGCTGCCCTTGGAAAAGGGCTCCCATGACCCTTCGGGATAAGAGAGCTTCCCGAGCCAACCCTCCTGACACGGTCCAAAGCTGTCCTAGGAAAGAGCGAGCTCACCCGCCAGGCCCTGTGACAGCCACGAGAAAGCGGCAGGAAAGAACCTCACTTGGAATGATGTGACGGAGACATGACAAGGACAAGCTCTCAGTCACATTCTGAGTGCAAATTCATGCTGGGCAATGGCCCCAGTACTTGCCATGTGGTGGCTCATTCAATCCTCCCAACGCCTTATGTGGGGAAGACATTATTTTGAAACCTGCTTCGCAGATGAGCAAACTGAGGTGAGAGGTGCTGTAACTTCTCCAGTTCTATGTAGATAGAAACTAGCAAAGTCACAAGCCCAAGCACTTGGCCTTGAAGCCTCTCTGTACACATTACTTCAGCACTTTAGTGGTGTCATTGTGGGGTTGGCAGAGCCCCCAGGCCTTCAGTCCCACATCCTGCAGGTAAGGATTTTAACTGACGGACGGCAGCCAAAAGGACTTTTCATAAACAGGTCCAGAAGGAGGCTGCACAACTGCCTTCATAACTGACAGGAACATCTCTGCCACCAGGACGTGCAATTCACATGTTTACAGGACTCAGAAGGCACCAGGTTAGAGGAAACGGAATGCTATTCCTGTTTTCCCTTTGGTTTGTTGGTCTCTTTCTTACCTTTTATGTACAACTAGTGGCCTGGTGCACAAAATTTGTGCATGGGGGGGAGGGTCCCCTCAGCCCGACCTGCACCCTCTCCAATCTGGGACCCCTCGGGGGATGTCTGACGGATCAGGCCTAAACAGGCAGTGAGACATCCCTCTCGCAATCTAGGACTGCTGGCTCTTAATCTCTTACCTGCCTACCTGCCTGATCGCCCCTAACCACTCTGCCTGCCAGCCTACTCACCCCCAACTGCCCCTCCTGCCTTCTTGCCCCCAACTGCCCCCCTGCTGGCCTGCTCGCCCCCAAATACCCCCAACTGCCCCCCCCCGCTGGCCTGCTCGCCCCCAACTGTCCCCTCCCCTTCTGCCAGCCTGATCAGCCCCAACTGCTTTCCTCTCCTGGCCTGATAGCCCCTAACCACCTCTGCCTCAGCCCGCCACCATGACTTTGTCCGGAAGGTCTCCCAGGTCTAATTAGCATATTACCCTTTTATTATTATAGAAGATGGGTATTTATATGCTACAAATATCTTCTCCCTGTATGTGCATGCCTTTTACCATTATTCCTGGTGGTTTTCCTGACATACAAAGGGTTTTTCATTTTTATGTTGTTTAATCTGTGATTTTTTTTTCCTTTGTGACTTCTGGGTCCTCTTCCCCAGAAGTCACAAAGGAGATCATACCAATATTTTTCTAATGTTTTCTTTTAGTACTTTCTGGTATCTTTTTTTTTCTTTTAATCTGCTTGAAATTCAGTTTATATATTGTGTGAGAATAACTTTGAGACCACCCCCCACCCACACACAAATAGACAAAAAGTCAAAAAGAAAAATGAGCAAACATAGCCCCAGCATTACTGAGCGCAGAGTGTGCCAAGACGCAGGGCCTAATGTAAAAGGGCCACTGGAGGGACAGCAGCTCCGAGGAGAGCGCCAGAAAGGGGAGAGGCTGCACTGGAGTTCAACTCCACTCTCACAACCACTTAAACTCAACTAAATTTTCCTTGGTTGCTGTGAAGAACTGAAGATTAGGAAGAGCTTGACTCCAAAGGCCTGTTTCCCTACCAACAGTTTTGAGAACCAAACTCTGCCTCCACATCTGCACTTCCCCATGCCCCATGCAGTCAGACTGCCTCAGAGCCCCGAGGGTCCCTGCACCCTGTGTGACTATCTGGGGCTCCCAGGGGAAAGGGGCTCCCTGCCCTCCATCAATACCTAACAACCCCACCCTCAGAGTCACAGCTCTTCAGGCAGCGAGTGTCTGCCAACCCCACTAGGGAGACAGGACTGGAATGACCAGAAACACAGAAAGCCGAGAGCCAAGGGCTCCTGCTAAGCAAAGGGCACATTTTCACTTCTGAGCAATCCAAAAAGCAAACTCTATTTCTCTCCCCATACTTTGGGGCACAGGAAGTGCAGGCTGCTGCCACACTATCTATTTAAGTTTCCCAGGCTGATCCTCACTTGGGAGACTTTTACTAATCAGGGAGCAACAAAGAAACGCCTCAAGCACTGGTCTCCTCAGAGAAACACCTTGCCTCCTCAGAGTATTCTGGGATCCTGCAGCCTTGTGTGCAGAGCAAAGGTGTGCAGAATCAAGCATCCCTCCGGCCAGGCAGTAAGGGGGGTCTAGGTGGCCCCCAGTCAAAGCTGCTGCAGACACTACCTGGAGGTAACCTTCAGGGACAGACGACTCCCCACTGCCCCACCCAGTCTCGCTGAAGGGATCTGAAATGCTTCAGGATGCTATGAATTATCTGAATTGCAATGTATTTTTTAAAAAAGACATTCTTTCTACCTCAATAAAAGTGTCAATTAAAAACATTATTAGCTATGCTTACAAACTATAACACCCACCCCCAAGTGTATTCTAGACCAGCGGTCCCAACTGGTGGTCCGCGAACCATGAGGACTGAAAGGTTGGCGACCGCTGTCCTAGACCAACTGCTCAGTTCCTGCACGGATCATGTGCTGGTGTGCAGCCTTGGGCAGCAGTGTGAACTGCACACAAACACACCGTAAACCAGTTGGGCTGTGGCTCTGCAACTGCCATTCTGACCGAGTGTGTCTGCGTACATGAAGCCCCATGACCAACTGCACCCACAACACATACACCTGCACTCAGTGCACAACCCAGGGCAGCCTGATGCCTCTGCTTGGCACATGCTTGAACAAAACGCTCGATGGGGTATTAATGAGGGGCTTCAGTTACACATCACTGTATGGTTTAAACACACATTTTCCTGTGTGTGTCCCTGTATAACTTTCACTTCATGTCTGTGAAGAGGCATTATAGCAAGATCAGCTATACTATGTGCCATTCAACTTTAAGTAAAAATTGCCCATTGAGGAATTCAAGCCTAAACTTTTAAAAAATATATATAATTTTATTGATTTCAGAGAGGAAGGAAGAGGGAGAGATAGAAACATTAATATGAGAGAGAACCATTGATTGGCTGCCTCCTGCACACTCCCCACTGGGGATGGAGCCCACAACCCGGGCCATGTGCCCTTGACCAGAATTGAACCTGGGACCTCTTAGTCCGCAGGCTGATGCTCTATCTATTGAGCCAAACCGGCTAGAACTCAGGCCTAAACTTTAACTGAACAGAGCTCTAAGGCTGTGAGTTGCAAAGAAATCTGTTATCATGTACATGTTCAGTACTTTGCAACTAAAACAAATGATGGATGGGAATGCTAAGGCTGGTATGAAGACAGTAACAGTTCCATTACAGCTCCTGATTTCAAATTTCAAAGTGTCTTTGTTCTAACCAACTGGCTTTAAAATAAGAAAATGATATAATGCCACCTTTGAAGACAACTGAGAGCCTTTCCTTACCAGGACAGCCATTACTGGCTGGCACCTGGTGTGCCCGGACGGGGGCCACTGCTCTTTCAGGCTCTCTACCTTCACTGCATCATCCCCTACAATCCTCAAGAACCAAGGCCACCACTCTCCAGTTCCAAAAGAGGAACGAGGACACAGACAGGTTAGACGGCTGAGTTGGAAGCAGCTGGGCTGAAATAAACTTGATTCTGCCTACCTCTCAAGTCACAGTTACACAGCCTACCCCAAAATGGGTGCTGGAATTCTACTTGGGTATCCCACTTCATTGAATTTTAAAACCTCTGCTCTAGGGTCCTAGATTGATGTCTGTCATTAAGGGTCCTGGTTATGGGGTACAGCTATCTGAAGAGACACAGCACAGCAATAGGCCCAAGACCCTCTCACTGCAACTCAGGACTGTACCAGCCTCCAGACACCCCATCTCAGAACTGGTGGGAAAGAAGCAGTGCTCTCTTCCTTGTCATTAAAATCATGCTGCAAAAGAAAGAAGTTGGACCCCTACCTCACATCATGCACAACACAAAATGGATCAAAGACCTAAACATAAGAACAAAAATTATAAAATTCATAGAAGAAAGCACAGTTGTAAATCTTTGCAACTTGGTTAGGCAAGATGTTGACACTAATGAAGAAAAAAAACAAAAACCAAAAAATGAACTTCACTATCATCTAAAACTTGTGTGTTTCAAAGTATACTATCAAGAAAATAAAGACAATCCATACAATGGAAGAAAATATCTGCATATCACATTTCTTTTTTAAAAAAAAATATATTTTATTGATTTTCTTACAGAGAGGAAGGGAGAGAGATAGAGAGCTAGAAACATCGATGACAGAGAAACATCGACCAGCTGCCTCTTGCACCCCCCCTACCGGGGATGTGCCCGCAACCAATGTACATGCCCTTGGCTGGAATCGAACCTGGGACCTTTCAGTCCGCAGACCGACGCTCTACCGATGAGCCAAACCGGTTCGGCTGCATATCACATTTCTTATAAGGGCCTACTATCCAAAATGTATTAAAAACTACAGCTCAACAACAAAAAGGACAATAACCACC